TTCAGTCCCCTCCACTCTGCCGCAGACCACGGGGGTGACGGGAGCGATGGGCCGTGAGAGGCTGCCCGGCGCGGTCCTCTCTAAGGCCTCAGCCGCCTTCCCTTTCCGGGCAGCGGCCGGCGCCTCGGCGGGACCGCGCAGCAGAGCCTCAGGGACAACCCCAGTCCCCCGGGAACCCCACTGGCCCCATCAGTCGCCGGGGCGGGCCAGCCGAATGGGTCCCGCCTCCCCATGTAAGGGTCTCCAGGTCGCCAGGGCATGATCCAACCTCGGCAGAGGGGACACAGACAGCTCCCCCGTCGATCCCGTTGCCACTGCTCAGATGAGGAAACCACGTCCAGCGTGTGGCCGCTCTTTTGAGTTGGGCCGTGAATGACCTGGGATGGGTCCACGGCCACTATGGTGGCCATGAACGCCAGAGCTGCTGCTGAGGCCAGCCCAAGGGATGGCAAGTTGAAGTCCCCCAAGACCACAAGCTTGGGGGACTTCACCTCCACCGCCAGCCCTGAGACAGCCTCCACAGCTCAGGCAGGAGGCTGGTACAGCAGCAGCAATCTCCACTGGCCCCACGAGCCTATCCTCAGAAATGGTCCCACAACCAGCAACGGGGGGAGCAGTGCCCCAAAGGCCAAGAGAGATTCTCAGATGGCAACTGCCACACACCCTCCCCTGCCCTGGAGTCTCGACTGGTGCCATACCCAGGACCTGGCTGGGCACAGTTCAGAGAGGGGAACCCCCCCTTCCGGCCCCAGCCAGGTCTCAGTAATACATGCCGGGTCAACCTGCTCATCCCTAATAAGGTCACACAGAAGGGGAGCTTTAGTATTAACTGACCTGGCATTAATCAGCAGCAGCCGAAAGCCCAGGGCTCTGAAGATCCGCTGACCAGGGCCTGGGCCTGAGTCCAGAGGGCCAGAATGTGACACCAGTACAAGACACCAGGGATGTCTCTGTCTCCCATCGAAACGCCCCATGCCCTTCACCACCTGAATGAATTGACCTGCCCTAAGCCCCCCAGAGTATCCATTGCCACTCAACTCGGTCTCCCCACTCCCGCAGCTGGGGATTGCTCCATCCACTCTTGCCCGTCAAGCGTCCCTCTACCGGCCTCGGCACTTCTTGGGCAACACATGCCCAAACTGACAGGTGCTGCTGTGATTTGTAGGAGGCAATGCTCCGTGTAGCACAGATGCAGCTAAGGATGGCAGTCTAATCCAAGCTTCCTTATCTTACTAAGAGAGTTTTGCAAAAGCCGTGATTGACCAAAGCCGTGGTGGGAGCAGAGGTCAGTATCTGCCGAGTCCATCTGGTGATGACCATGGAATGTACATGATTGTGACTTGGATTGTAAGAAGGGTAAATGGTAAAGAGCACGAATCAACCAACCAAGTGAAGTAAAGAAAAGTGAGTGTGCTGCATCTGTGAAACTAAGAGAAAAGAGAAGGATGTGACAGATGTGAACGAAGACGGCCTGCTTTCGAGGGGTACCAGGCAGTCCTTGGGTTAAGAATGTCCAGCTTAAGGACAACTCGTACTTACGGACTGCGTAAAGTCTGTTATATTAAAAAAATTGAGTTAAATACAATGATGTGTAATAACGAACCTGCACGCTACTTTGTGACGCTCATGAAACTGCACGGCTTCAGCGGTTCATCGGCTGGAGGAAGGAGAATGCCATCTGCCACTTTATATACTGTATATATTAGGACACATTTGATTAACTGATGCTAAGTAAGAACCGAATGTACCTGTTTCAACTTACCTACAAATTCGACTTAAAGACAGACTTAGGAATGGATCTCATTCATAACTCAGGGACTGCCTGTAGGTGAAGGAGTAGTTTTATTGTTATGGTAGAGCTTAAATGTATGTTTGAAAGTATGAACTGATGCCGTCCAGATGGCTGTGGGTACGTAGGAAAGTTGGAACTCATAACTTGGTTACAGTGGCATGATAGATTCCAGAAAATAGTGATAATGAAAAATCAGGATGAGTTTTGGGGAAAATGGCGCAACATTCTGAGTAAATATAGTCTAGGGCAAGCATATAAAAAGATTTATGAAAAAAGAAAGGTGAAAGAAGCTGTGCCGTGGAAAATGAGGATGACCAACATATTGTGTATACAGAGAAAAAGCTGCAAGCAGTGCAGTGAAAGAGAAAAATATGGTTGTAATTAAAAGAACAGAGAAAATGTGTATTTTTGTATGCAGATGAAGCTCTGCTATGGGCTAAGCCCCAGAACGATTTGCAGCCAACGTTAAAGAGACAGTATGATGCAGTGAGGGCTATGGGTCTGAAAATTATTGTATCAGAGAACAAGACAGTCATATCTGATGCAAAATGGAATGAATGACTGCAAATTACACACACACAGTGAAAAACTAAGGCACACGAATGCGTGCCACTCTGGTAATTTTTTCTTTTTACTAAAGATAAGAAAATGGGTGGAAAATATGGTCTGGCAATGCTGGTAAAATAAGAGTGGGCTTCTGCCTGCTTCATTATGTGGAGATGGGAATTGGGGCTGCCGGGAGAAAGGCCAAGCTGAACACTGTGGGAATGAGGTCCTTAGCGCAGGCAGGAAAACCAGAAAGCGGGGGGGGGGGAGCATTAGCTGTCGAGTGGGACGACAGGAGTGGCCAAGAGGGGAGGAGGAGGCTGAGATGGCTTGGTTACCCCGGGAGAACAAACGGCTAAGTTAGCAGGAAGGGCAGGGAAAGAGCTGAAGGCTGAGAAGTTGCGGCTGGATGGAGCCAACAGGACCTTCCGCGCTGAAGGAACCAAAGGCCAAGTGGGAAGGGGTGAAGGGGGCGAAGGGGGGAGAGGAATGGGAATGGGGTGAACAAGGTTCTCTTTCTCATCTTGGGCCTCCAATTATCTTGCCTTACTATTTTGTACTCTTCTGTGCTTCGTGCTGCTTTCTGACCTCCAAAGGGAGTAGGGTACGTATGTAGGCTTTCTGTTTGCGGTCTGCCTATTTTAAGGTTTATGTTATAGTTTTATTTCTTCCGACCCCAAAAGTGCAAGAAATGGTCTCCACCACCCCCTCCTGGCCCAGTGGGGCAGGTAAGAGTCCGGGGTTTTCCTAGCAGCCGTTCGACACAGAACGGGGCTGAACAAGAGGCAAAGCCAGCGGGATGGAGGACGTGTGGAGCGAGTCCAGGCCCACGCAGATGCCCCCCTGCACAGCTGGAGGAGGGCTGCGTTTCTTGCGGTCACTGTTTGGGCCTCAGGAGCAAATCGGGGTGTCTGGTTACACCTGGAAGGACAAATCCAGTGATTCAGCAGCCCCTTTCCCTCATGAGGCCATCCAGCCCACCCCCTTCGCAAGACAGGCATCCATGCTAGTCCAGTCCCCACTTGAGGACACCCAGCGCAGGGGCGGCCACCCCTCTCTGAACTGCTACTGCTAGGAAGCTTTTCCTGCCTCCCCGTTTCTGGGCTCAGCGCTCCGGAAGGGAAGCCAAGAGACTTGGCCCCCCTTCCGTGCTACCTCCCGGGGGTCTTGAAGAGGGCTCTCCCCTCCCCCTCCCTTTCTCGAGGCCCAACATTCTCGGCTCCCTCCCTCTCCCTTCATAGGACTTCAGGTCTGGTCCTGGATCGTCTTGGTGGCCCTGCTCTGACCCCCTTGCGTCTCCTCTGAACTCTGAAACTGGGTGTTGCCCAGAGACTTGGGCGCGGGCTCTGACCAGAGCAGATGAGGGACGGTTCTTCCCACTATTTGGACGTTGGCTTCACCGTGCCTGCTGGCTCTGGTGCATTTTTCAGCAGTCTTACCTATCCTTACTGGGTAGACCCCCCCACCATTCCCATGGGATGCTTTGCAGTTTACACTGCCACTTTGAAGAAGGCACGGCCACAAGCCCCAGTCCAGCAGGGCAAAGGAGCACTTTGGGGACGGGGGCAGTCTGGATCTGGAAGGCATGAGGGGCAGGTTGTTTGGGGTCACGCAGCTTGCAGAGCCCAAGTCGCACAAACACACGGGGGGGCGACCGATGGTGCTGTGTGACTCAATCAGCAGAGCACCCATGCTGCGCCAAGGCGAGCAGCGTGGGAGTGTGCCGTGTTTGCCAACGAGCCAGCAGACAGTGGGGTCGATTGGATTTGACTGCTTGGCTTTTCTGTGGGTCCCTCTCCGGTGCTGCGGGGTGGGCCCTGGGGGTGGGCGTCCTTGGCCCATTCCTCTTCATCGAGAGATGGCACATGGCATCGCCCTTCCCATTTTACCTCTTCTGTGCCTTGCAGCCCTTGGTGTGGGCCCTGCAGGAGTGCACGGAGTGCCTTGGCCGCCAGAGTTCGGCCTGCGCCCTGCAGCTGGAGCAAGCGGAGTTGCTGCTGGCCCAGCATGCCGAGGCCCAGGCAGAGCTCGGTCCGTGGCTGGAAGAGGCTCAGCAGGTGGCGGAAGAGTTCTCTCCCGGCAGCATTGGCTGCAAGGCGTTCCGGGAGCAGCAGGAGGTGCTGCAGGTGAGGGCAGGGGGCGGGGGCATTTGGAGGGGCCAAGGGCCCCCACTTGACCCACACCTGCTCCCACCTCTGACCTGTGCAGGGTCTGTGGGAGGCCATCGCTGAGCACAAGCCCCTGATGGCGAAGCTGCAGCGCGTTACTGCGCAGCTGGCCGAGCTGTGCCCCCAGGAGGCAGCCCCCCTGTGGCAGGGGGGGGCGGGGGGGGGGGCCATTTGGGGGGGCAAGGGCCCCCCACTTGACCCACACCTGCTCCCCCCTCCGTCCTGTGCAGGGTCTGTGGGAGGCCATCGCTGAGCACAAGCCCCTGATGGCGAAGCTGCAGCGCGTTACTGCGCAGCTGGCCGAGCTGTGCCCCCAGGAGGCGGCCCCCCTGGGGCAGGGCCTGCAGGCAGCCGAGGAGCGTTACGCCAGCCTCCGAGAGCACGTCCAGCAGGCGGCAGCCATGCTGGGGGAGGCCGTCTCGCGATACAGCCAGGTAAGCCCGTCCTGCCTTCCAGCTCCTGCGGGGAGGGGAAGCTTACCCAGCCAGCTCACCTGGTATCTGCACAAAGGCCCGCAGTGATTGTGGTGGGGCTAAGGGTCCCACGGGAAGGGTGCTCCCTCCTTTCTCCAGAGGACCTGGCTTCTGCGTGCCTGCTTTCAGGGGCTGGATGCTGTCCCTCCCCTGCCTTGGTGTCCCTGCCCTCCCTCCCTCCCTCTGTCCACCTGGCACCTGGGCAGAAGAAGTCTCTCTGGGCTGGGCCCGCCGGGGCTGACCCTGGCCCACCTGTGCTTGCCTGGCAGCTGTCTGAGCGGATGGAGCTGATGGCGGGGTGTCTGGAGCGGGTGCAGGAGCGCGTGCGGCACCCGCCTGCTCTGCGGGGAGACCCCATCTGGCTCCAGGAGCAGCTTTGGGAGAACAGTCTCCGGCTGGCGGAGTTGGAGAAGCTGGGTGTGGCTCTTGAGACCCTTCGCGGGCAGGGGGCTGAGCTTCTGGCCACCCTCCAGACCACCACACACCCAGGTACCTTCCCAGCAAGTTGTCTTCAAGGGTGGCTCCCACTCCCCAGGGCAGCACATAGTGGCCCCAGCTGGCCTGTGCTGTGGCCCGTGTGCTAATTTCCCGTGGCCCTTGGTCTTCTGCATGGGGACCAGTGCAGCCCCCTGGGATGCCCTGCGCTCGGCTTGGGGAGAAGGGAGGGGTTGGGTCTGGCCGGATCCTCTGCCCATCACGCGGCCCCACCTGGGCATTCAGGAAAGGGAACCTTTGATAGAGCAAGGACTGCCCGTGACCCCTGGCCTGAATCGCCATCGCCATCTCCTTGGGGGCTGCGGCCGTCCTGCTGATGGATCGATCGCACTTAGGTCGCATTCTTGCAACGCCCCCTGCTAGCTAAGATGGGGCTGGGCGACGTACGGCTCAGCACGTTGTGGGACGCAGCAGCGCTCCTCTTGTGGTTGGAGCTGGGCTGTCGTGACTTACGCGGCTAGTCACAGCGTGCTTGAGGAGCCCAGTGGCCTGTCAGCGGGAGTGGAGGTCTATTGCGTCCTCCGGCCTCAGCCGCCTTTCCTGCTGCAGCTGTCCAGGAGCGTGTGCAGGAGCTGCAGAGGCAGTGGCGGGTGCTGTGGAAGCAGGAGGAGGAGCGGGAGGCCTCTCTCCAGGAGCTCTTGGCCCTGGCTGGCCGGTTTTGGCCTGGCCTCGCCGACCTGGCCGGGGCTCTCAGTAGCACCCAGCAGATGGTGCTGGACCTGGAAGAGACAGCGGCCTCTGATCCGAAGGATGTTCAGGCCAAGCTGGTGGCCATGCAGGTACGGGTTGGGCGCAAGAGCTGTCGTGGCGTCTCCCTGAGGAAGCGGGGCCCCGCTCTCCCTTCTTGCAGTGGGCCTGGGGCAGCCCCCTGCAGGGTCGGAGCAGTGCCTGGGGAGGTGGGCTGCAGGTCCTGGGGTGCCACACCAAGTTCTTCTTCCGATGAGGCCCGATCCCTTGGCAGCAGCAGGTCCTGTTCTTGGAATCCTATGGGAGGGGGATAATGCCCTGGGCCCCCTCTTTTCATTCAATAGGCGATGAAAGTGAAGAAGACTGAGGAGGCCTCCCTTAGGTGTCGGTGGAGGTGGGATCCTTGGGGGTTCGGTGGGGTGGGGACAGGCACGATGCCCTTGGGCTCTCTCCATCAGTATAGGCTCACCACGCACCTGGGCCCCATTAACTACCTACATGAGGACCTTTCTCTCAGGTCTGGGCCTTCCTCCCAGCCCACCCTATCATTTTTGGTTCCCCCTCGAACTCTCCTCTGGCTCGCGTGGGCCAGTCCTTGGAGATGGCCGCTTGCTCTGGTGGCGGCCTGTGCAGGTGGCCTCCCGCAGCTTCTTGCCCTGCAGGCCCTGCGTGAGGAAGCCGATTCTCTACAGAGTGAGCTGGACTCCTTGGGTGCTTGGGGCATGGAACTGCTGTCGTTGTGTGGAGACCTGGAGAAACCAACCATCACTAAGAGCCTGGATGATGTGAGCAGCGGCCTGGGCTGCAGGGTGGTGGTGGTGGTGAACCACAGTGGTGGATGGCAGCAGCACGGGGGCCTACAGAGTCCTCCTGCACCTTGTGAAGGATGTCTGCCCTTTATTCCTGTTTTTCCTTGGTGCTAGAGCAACAAGGGTGCAAGGATTGGGTGTACCTGGACTTGGTACCCTTGGGATGTGGTGGATCTGCAGTTTTAGGGGGTGCAGTCCCAAAGTATTGGCATGTTTGGCAGAGGTAGACTGCATGAATGGCCCCTAGACAGTCCCTGCTGCCCTGGCCCACCCACATCCCCTTAGTTTAGCTTCACAGGGTAAAGATGCTCAGAAGTCAACTTAGCTCCTGCTGACCATGCTGGGAGTTCCTGAAGGCCTCACTGTGGAAGGGCCCACTTCCAAGGTGCTGCAGCTGACCCCTCTGTCTCCCCCTGCCAGCTCTATTCATCTTGGAACAGCCTGAACAAAATGTGGGAGGAGTGCCAGAACCATCTGGAGGACCAGCTGCAGGCTTTGGTCGCCTATCAAGAGACGATGGAGGTAAGGAGATCTTCCTGCCTGGAGACAAGCAGATGTTTCCAGAGACAGGCCAGCCGAGAAGGAGTACGCCCTGGGCTCATGGGGATGGGCTTCTGCTGTCTCCTGCTATGGGCATGGAAATCAGGTGATCAACCAGGAAGCTTGCCAGGGACCCCCTGAAAGAGATGGGGTAGGGATGGCCAAAGGTGAGCTGGAGAGCAGGCCGAGACCTTGCCCTTCAGGTATGCCACTCGGGTTGCTATTCTCACTGGTTCCAGCCCTGTGGGCACTCTTTTCTAGCCAACGGGCTGTGTCCCTTCTTACCTGTCAGTGCACCCAGAGCTCCTGCCAGTCCTATTGGGCATCCTTGCCCCCACATCTTCTTGGCCTTCCAGACCCAAACCCATAGCCACAAGTCCCCCTGGGCAAACCCTGGAAGCCCCCCAGCAGACCGCAGACCTGCCCAGATGCCCCCTCCCTTGCTTCCCTGCTGGTTTCTCCTCCCTCCTCTCCAGAGGCTCCTGGCCTGGCTGGAGGAGGCCGAGCAGCGGATGGCAGAGGAGTTCCAGGGGGGTGGAGACCTGGCCCAAGTGGAGCGAGAGCTTTCAGAGCTGAAGGTAAGGACGCTGTGGGCGGGGTGGGGGTGGGGGGCCAGCAGGCTAGGCTCCCAAGAGAGGGAGGGGAGGTGGGTGCCTGCACCCTGAAGGCTGGCTGAGATCAGGAGGGGCAATGCTGCATGAGCAGGGGCCCTATGCAGAACAAACCTGGGACAGCTCTTGGCCAGCAGCAGAGCACTCATGGAGCATGAAGAGATGGTGACAAGTTCACCTCCAGACGGCTTGGCTCCAGCCTCCGCAGGCTGCCAGTGCAGTTGAAGTGGGACTAGGACCTGGCATAACCAGGTCAGCCCGGAAGCTCAGGGTGACCCTGGGATGGCCACTCACCTCAGCAGCATTGCTGCAACATTGTCCTGGGGAAGAAATGGGAGAGGGAGTGCCATGCTCTCCAAGGAGAGAAATGTGGCGCCATGTTGAATTGGGGCGCTCGGCTCTGGAGGGGCTGTTGTGCTGAAGGGCTGTGCCAGGCTGCGACTCCTGATCGCCCTCCCCAAATCCACCGGGCAGGCCTTCAAGCGAGATCTGTACCAGCGCCAAGTGGAGGCCGAGAGCCTTTGGCACCAGAGCAGCCACAGGGGGGCTGCCCAGGAGGATACCCCCCTTGCTTTCAGTGGCTTCCGGGACCGTTGGACCCAGCTGGAGGAAGAGCTGGTGACCCGGCAGGTGAGGCCGCTTGGACCGAGGGGAAGCAAAGGGCCTTGAAGGGGGAGAGGTTGGCATCTTGGCTAGTTTTAGCCTCCCCCCGGCTTCTGCTTTCCTGACACTGGGAAAGATTGAAGGCAAAAGGAGCAGGGGACGGCAGGGGACGAGACGGCTAGATGGCAGCACCGAAGCAATGAGCGTGAAACTGAGCCAACTCAGGGAGGCAGCGAAGGACGGGAAGGCCTGGCGCAATGTGCTTCACGGGGTCATGCGGGGTCGGACACGACTTAACAACCGAACAACAAATGGCTCGGGCCCCCAGCACCCGCCCGCCCGCGGCTGACCCCACGGGGCTTGGTGCCTGCTCCCGCACCAGCCTTGCTGCCCGAAGCCGAGAGCTGCTCTGGCCTCTTTTGCAGCATCAGCTGGAAGCTACCCTCCTGGGCCTGGGCCAGTTCCAAAGCCAGCTGGAGTGGCTGCTGCAGTGGCTGCTGCGCACGGTGGAGCAGTTGCAGGGCCCTGCCCCCCGCACACCAGACCTGCAGAGCTGCGAGATCGAGCTGGCCAAGCACCAGGTGGTCCCGCAGCCCTGTCCCTGGCGAGGGTGAGGGCGGGGGCTGCTCTCCCAGCAGGCGGCAGGGCTGACGCAGGCTCTCTGCAGGTGCTCCGGAAGGACGTTGCGTCTCACACCCTCACGGTGCGGTCTGTGCAGGAGGCCGGCCAGAGCCTGCAGCTGCCCAGTGGTGGCTGCGGAGGGTCTGTGGAAGGCCTGCAGGGCAGTCTCCAGCAGCTGGGCTGCCGGTGGAGCCAGGTCCTGGCTGAGACGGAGCGCCGCCAGCTGGACCTGGAGCACAACCTGAGCCAGGTGATTCCGGGCAGGGGGGCTGCTGGCTGAGCACTTCCCAGGCGGGAGGACCGGGCGGGCAACAGCTGGGAGGCTCCTCTGGGGCCGTGGGGCAGCTTGACTGCCCCCATCCGCCGCCTGCACAGGGGCAGTCCAGCGAACAACGGGCTGGGCCTCAGAAGCCCCGGGCCACGAGGTCTGGCTTTTCTGGTGGGGGGCATCGTCCAAGGCCCTGGGGGGTCTGCTGATGCTGGGGAGTGGCTTTCGTCCTCCACGCCGTCGTCACTCTGCCTGGTTTCTCTGCATGGTGCTCCTGAAGGTCCAGGAGGTTACTCTGGAGATCACCAGGCTGATGCAGTGGTTGGACCGTGCGGAGTTGCAGCTCTTCTCTTCCAAGCCCATCTGGGGCCCCCTGGAAGCCACCAAGGACAGGCTAGCAGCACACCTGGTGAGTTCCTTCCCGGGCAACGTGCTCCATGCCGGGGACGGCCGGTCATTTTGTTAAAGGCCCCGTTGACCTGGGGGTGGGAAATCAGAAGACCCGTGAACCTGGTTCAGGCCAAGGCCCCTCCAGGCCAGCCACTTCTGTCGACCTCTTCCTTGGGACCGTAGGACTGGGTCTCGGCAGCTCTGACACAGTGCAGACTCAGAAAAGGGGCTGGCCTGAGGACCCCGCCTGCTGAGCAAAGCCCAACTAGAGGTTGCTCTCCAGAGCGCAGGAGCAGTGAAGTGAGCAGGGCAGCATTGGCCGTGGCGCTGGTAGAAATCCACCCCGTCTCTCTTCTGCCCTACTTCAGACGAGTCAAGGTGACTTTCAGCTTAACAGGAATAAAATGATCCAACCACATAAACATAACCACCAAAATAAATTACAGAAGCAGTCTAGGCCCTCCATCCCCACCAGAACTTGTTGGGAAGTACAGTTTTAATGGCTGAGGGGCTCCTAGTACCTCAGGCCAAGATGTTCCACAGTGTCACCAGCCCCACTACTTCTTCCTTTGTGGGGTGGACCCTCAGGAGCCCCTGAATTCTTTGGTGCAGGTGCATGGTCCGTGTACTTGAAGGCATCTCGGTGTCCATTCTTGGCAGATGCAGTGAGGCTTCTGTAAGAGGCGTTGCAGACTGGCTCCAGGCCTGGTTAAGGGACGGAGGTGTTTTTTGCTCTGGGCAAAAATCTTCTCCCTCAGCTTCAAGAACTAACTGTTTCAGCTTTGCAGGACCGTTTCTGCGTGTGGGCCTTTTTGTGGACCGCCTGGCTTGTGGGCCTTGTCCTCCCGTGGCCCTGCCAGTTCCCAAGCCCTTCTTGTGGCTTGGACTCTTCAGTTGGAGCCTCCCTTCGGGTTGGGCAGCTATTTGAGACCTTGGATTATTGCAAGACCCACGTTTTACTGTACCCCCCCCTTCCTTTCTCCTCTTTATGCATTGATGGAGATCATGGCTAGGGAGCCTCACCGGTGCCTGGAAATGCACCTGCTGTGCTTATGTGCTGACCTTGTTGCTGGACAGGAGCTGTGTGAAGAGATGGATGCCAAGCAGCAAACATATCAACAAGTCTGGGAGAAGGGTCAGCACCTGCTGGCCACCTGCCACCCAAACCGGGCTTCTAGTACTGAGCACAGCCTGACGGTCTTGGAGCAGAAGTGGGGCAGCATCGCCAGCCACATGCAGGAGACGAAGGTGCGTTGGCGGGAGGGGAGGGGCCGCGCTGTGCCTCTCGTCCTGCATGGGGTCAGCCTAGGGTGCTTCGTCCCTCTCCCAGGAGCAGCTCCTCAGAAGTCTGAATATGGCCACGGAGCTCCGTGCCACCGTCCAGGAACTCCTGGAGTGGATCGGGCAGACCGAGGAAGTCCTGGCAGCCCTGCCCCCTCCCAGCTACATCCTGGACACAGTCAGCAAGCAGAGGCACCAGCAGCAGGTCAGCTATAACCAGCTGGCAAATGAGTCGGAGCCAGTGGGACATGTCCCTGGGTGGCGTGGGTGTCCCTGGGGTCAGTTTGTAAGAGAAGTGCCTGCCGTCCGCTCGGGCGCTGGCCCACCTTGTTCAGGGCAGTCTGGGCGTGTTGTGGCCTGTGGCTGTGCCCTCCCTCCACGCAGGGCACTGCCAAGCCTGCCTTGCTTGCTCTCGAGTCCTGACACCCGCAGTCTTCCAGTGAGTCCAGCAAAGTCTCTGGAAGCTCTGTAGATGCTGGGTGGCTTGGAGCCACTTCTGACTGGAGCTGCGGGAGGGAGGGTTGGTCGGTCTGTGGAGAGAGGTGCTTCTGGGCACCTCTGCCTGGTTTGTCCCTGGCAGGCCTTGGCAAAGGAGACAGAGACCCGGAGCAAGAAGCTGGCAGGGATGGAGGTGATGGCCGCTCGCCTAAAGCAGGACAACAGGGCTCCCCCCAGCCTGGTGGGGACTGCCAAGGAGCGGCTGGCCAAGGTCCTTCAGCAAGTGAGCGAGAGGGGGGAGGCGCTGGAAGAGGCCCACCAGCAGGCCAAGCAGGTATCTCATACAAAGAGGGGACCCCCCGAGGGGCAGCGGGAGGGCTCACAGCACCCTAGGCCTGCCTTTTGGGGAAGATGGGGTGCTGGTGGGGGCAGGCGTGTCCATGGAGATTTACTGCAATGCTGCTCTGGCCTTCCAGTTTAGAGAGTCCTGGCAGCTCCTCCTCAAGTGGCTGGATGAGGTAGAAGCAGCCTCCACAGCCTCTGCAGATGCCACCACTGCGAAACAAGAGGACATTAAGGTCCTCCTGGGGCAGCACAAGGTGAGGGGGCTGGTGGGACACCATTGCATCATGCCCACTCCCTGTGGAAACCTCTTCCTTCTCTCCAAGATCTCCAGGCCCCACCGTCCTCCTGGAGTCCAGCTGGGCTAGTCAGGAGGAGTGTGAACACTTTGGAGGGAGGACGTTTGAGCAGAGCCTTCAGAGATGGCTGTCCCTCTCTGAGGAGGAAGGCTCACTTGGAGGGCCTTGCTTTTGCTGCCTAAAACGAGAGCAGCCTTTGCAATTCACAACCCTGGGATGGCACACTATGCCCCAGGTAACTCCAACCTCAGTAGCACTGCGGTGTGGGGCAGGCAGGCTCTTGGCTCTTGGGATGCACCATCCAGAGACTTGCTTGGATGATTCCCTGGACTGTCTGGAAGAGATTCCAGGGTTGGTGGAAGCCCTGAGACCTTCACAGGGAACCCAGTTGAACCTCCTTTGGGTTTCTGTCTGAAGACCAGCTGCTTAGAAGCCAGTTCACCTCTCAGTTGCTTTTAGCATCAGGACTTGTCTGGTGTTCATCTGAAATCAGCCTTCCTCTATCTTGAGCCAATGCCCTGGGACATGGGCAAGAAGTTTGGCGGTAGAGATCATTGGTAGGTCAGCCACTGAGGTGATCCCTCAGCATCAGTAAGTCAAGTCATCATAGAATTGGCAATTGGCAAACTTCAGCCAAAGCTTCTTTCAGATGAAGAAACCTTTAAGGGTGCTCTAAGAACAATAGTTGGTGGGGTATGAGAACATCTGAAGAGCCCTGAGCCTGGATCAAGGCCCAGGCCCCCCTAGTCCACCGTTGAGTGTCCTGCGGGCATGCCTTCAGAAGCTCGCCCCCTGGCTGGAGGGCAAGAGCCACGGCCCTTTCCCAGCAAGCAGCATTTGAAGCCTGCTCCTGCTGCCCCCGCTGCTGCTGCCTGGATTTGGGGTGGGAAGCAGTAGCCTTCCGTATGCACAGCCACCAAGGGTCTGATCCAGCCCCCTTTGGTGGCCCTCCCAACCAGCTGCCGTGCTCACAATAATATGCTGTGCAGGAAAATGTTCCTTGATTTTGTTGGTGTACATCGCCCTGGCATACCTTCTGCTTCAGGCAGTCACCCCTCAGTCAAAGTAGTAGGTCTCATTCGGGGCACCTCCTCGAGGAAGGATTCAGAGAAGCTGGAGAAGAGAGGGAAGGAGCTGGGACCGCGGAGCCTTGAGAAGAGGAGAGCTTCTTCAGACATCCGGGAGGGCCTCCCGGAGCAGAAGGGCCGGCCTCTCCTTGCTTGGTCCATGCTGCAGGTTCCAGTGGAATGCGAGGCAGGAGGAGGGAGCCAAGACCAGTTCCCCTTCCCTGGCAATGCTCGAGGGGCAGCTGGATCGCCGTCTTTGGGGACGCTTTCATTTGGATGCCCACGCGGACTAGCAGGCTGGAGTTGATGTGTCCTAAATGGCCTTTTCCAACTCTGTGATTTGATTATTTGATTCTCAGAATGGAGGACTGGAGCCAAGAATCTGTCCATTTTCTCTTTTTCTGCTCTCCTCCTTTAGTCTCCTGTTTCCTTGGCCAGTTTCCTCTTCCAAATGTATTAGAAGACTTTTGCTTGGAAATTGGCATATCTTTTGTCAGAGTATGCTTGTGGAGTCCTTGGTGCTCTCTACGCTTGGCTGTTTGCTTGCAGACGTTTCATTACCCGACTCGGTCAATCATCAGTGCGCGGGAGGGTGGGGTGTGCGCCGACGTGCAGTAGTTTGCCCTGCCGGTGCGGGTGGGGTGTGGGTTTCTCCGTGGCAGAAGTTCCTCGATTCGGGTGTCTTGTCTGCTTGACTGTTTGTCTGGTGTTAATCCCTGCTTATCTGGGCACAGGCTGCTGGAGAGAACGTGTCCTGGTCTTCTTGTTTCCTTCTTAGCTTTTTCATTGTCTCTTTGAGTGGTGCGTCAGTGTGGTTTATCTCTGTGTGTCTATTGATGGCTGATTTGTCTGAATGCCAAGCTTCCA